CCATTTTTTTCGACTGCTTCGTATCAGTCACAGTAGTGGAACTAACAGATGCTCAGCTCTTGCTTGATCCGTGATACTGTCTGCGTTCCGCCAGGAGGATGAATGTTATAAATCGGTTAGCTGAGTGCAAAAGTACTGCAGTTGAAACGGTTTCATCATCTACTTCATCATTAGAAAGCAAAGACGAAGCGATCAGTTAATCAAGAAGTTCAGGCACTAGAATGCTTCAGCTTACCGTTCATGTGGCTCCAAATTACGTTAGGTTAATCCTTGATTGTTATATATGCCATCGTGAAAAGTTCAAATCGTTCCTCACCAATGTTTCTATACACACTTTTCTTACATTACCCATGACTGCATGGCAGATCGGTCATGTATACGGAAGCGGTAATCTATACCTTACTTGCTAAATCAAACGCTCAATCACGTGTGCGCAAAAGCAAACAGGGAAGCGAAATCAACTTTGTACCGCAGTTATTTGTAGATTCAGATAGTTTACCAAGTGAAAACACAGGTAACGTGAAGATGGACTACAACAATCACACTCATATTCTCATTTCATCAGAAAAAATCCTTTCTTAGCCTTCATCGTGCTCCTCCCAATTTCATCGTGTACTATGAGTTTTGTTGTCCACGAATTACGAAAACCGTCAGATGATATTGGGCAAACAATCAACAGTTCCGTCAACTATGAATGAGTGTGACGCAATATCACGTGGAAACAAATCCAACTGCCACTTGTTTGAGGAACATCTCACTTTCATCACAAGGCTGAACATGTGCTGATAGCTTTTGATTTAATGCGAAAAATATGCACAGGAGCCGAAAATATGCTGTAGTGCAAATCTATAACATGGCCGGCAGATTATTTCCTGTAAGGCTGTATAACAAGTAGCACAGTTTCAGGAGCCAGTCATGTACTCCAGAGAATGTGGTGCTAATTTAAGTTATTTGCTTTTCAATATGCACAAGAGCATCCTGTACTTGTATACCAGGCGTGTTGCGTAAGCACTATATCCTAACTCTTGATCCCAGTATGATATATAAACCAGTTTATTTTTATTCAAATACGAATTTGGTCAACGGTTTCAGTGTGACGCCGTTTGAATGACTGTGCCTTAAACCGTTGTTCCAATGCACCTTAGATGAGCATGATTCAAACTTTGCCCTCGAAATCGGCCTATCCAGGTTGAAATGATGTCTCTATAGGAACGATGTGCACATCCGTAATCATAATTAGGGGGATTTATTAACATGACTCAAGCAAGGATGTCGTGAGCTTACGTTCATAATGAGCAAGAAATTAGATTCCATTCAGATCAGGTTGTCTCAAATTCCAGTGCTATTTACAAACAAAAGGCTACGGTTGATATAGTTTGATTATTGAAATCGCACAACCCAAAATGAGCAACACAACTAGCAGTATCTCGACGGAAGAGTGGAACAACCTTAAAATAGTTACATGAATGTCGGCAATTAGAGATTCCACTTACGTAATCCTCGTGTAAATGATAAATGAAACGTGAAGTGGAAAGCCGGGAAGCACTGGCCAGTTGTTTTTAAATGACTCCGTCTCGTCAACAATGCTGATCATTCGACACATCCAAGGATTGAACGCGGAATTTTACAGGCAAAAGCACTCACCCTACCCACTCCAACATTATGCAGCCTATGCAGCGTTTTTCATTTTCCGCATACAGGATATAGTGCAACCGACTTTTGTGAGGTCATTGCAGGCATCGTGCCCTGAACATCGCAGCACAATCTGCAGGATTACGATTGGAAACATTGGAAACATTCGAATCCATACATATGTTGCATGACAGAATTGAAGGAATTTGTTTATTCATTTGGTGGAAGATGAGCTTGATATGCGGACTATATCACCAGCATCGCCTGCATTCCCTATCGCACGGAGTTAAACTTTCACCCATTTTCTGGATCTGATGATGCTTTGCCCCTCAATTGTATACCACACTAGTAACNCTAGTAACGGTTCTTCTCGTTGAATTCAGATGTGTCTAGATCATGCAGTTCACGTAGCTTGTGTACTTTGGACAAATTCAGCTCCCAATGTAAGCGTCTTCATAAGTCGCTGGTCGTCGTGGCTGACTTAGATCAGACAACGCTTCATGACTTCCCTTATAAATTATCATAGTTATTGATCCACTATAAGCGATATTCTCTCTTATCTGATTTATCAAAGTAAGTTATCATCGAGCTTTTTTTTGGTCTTATCTGAAGTGTTCAAAAGTCAACTGTCTTCCGAACGGGGTTGAATGCAGGCTCGACGGATGTGTATAACGAATATAATCTGCTGCGTCAAAAGATTCAAGTGCAATTTTGGTCATTCGCAAATGAATGTGAACAGTTTTCGGTAGAATGTGGTGATAAACTTTTATTAAACAAGTATTTTCTGAATGTCAGAATATCGACGATTTGGTATGTTGTCCGTCTTGGTAAGTGTGCAAAAATATCAGTGCCTACTGGTATATACATATCGAGGAAAATTTGGGAGAGAGCCACACACGTTCAGCCGAATATCGTTGTCATATTTCGTGTTTCGACGAAAGAGAATTTATTGTCGGTAAATGCAATCGTACTGCAACAGATCACGTACGGTGCGACAAAGTCGAAACCTCCAGTTTTTCATTCACTGATGCGGTAAAACCATCCGTTTAGCACTGGTTCAAGGAATAGTTTATTGTGAAACCATCTATGAGCTAGATCTCACCACTTTAAAGTCATTAACCGGAAAATGCATTATTGAGATTGCACTGTAATTAGCAGAATACAAACGAAGTCTTGTGATATGGTGTGTCTTAGTTGAATGTGAAACTGACACTAAATTGCACCTTGGTTCCATCGGAATTAACAAGTACGCGATGCAGGTTTATGGGCACAATGACCATCACTGACCATCATGTTGATTGCATTGTGTGAATAACGTTTCACAACACTGAAATAACTTTAAGGTATAATTTATAAAACATTGGTATTATTCAAGACTTCTGCTCTTCAATCTGCTCACAACGCCTTTATTCTTTATCGTACAATAAACATAAATTTAATGTCGAAATGTACCTATCATGGTCTAGCGCCGTTCTGATCTACAGATGCTTTGGAGAAGGTTTATAGCGAAGTAAAAGATTATGTTAGTCTCAGCCTGTTCATATGAGCTTTCTGACATGAACTTGGGCGTCTATGTTCATGTAAAGGCACAGTCGTGTTTAGCCTTTGCGATAAGTGGTTTCCAGAGAAGCATAACGGTTGTTGAGCAATTAATGGTATTGCGTCAAATTACAAAACGAATTTCTGTTATCTCAATCAAAAGAAATATATGATAACGAATATTTGGCGACTTCGAGGTTCGCCAATAGAACCTGTCGTTCAAGCTCATGTTACCACCGGCATCATTATGTGCCAGACTTTAAACGAAATGGGGTTAGTTAGATATTTTTACTGATAATGCTTTGGAGTGCGATGGACCAAATTCAAAGGAATCGAAATACATTTCACGTGTAATGGGTTTGTATTTGAACCACTTTAAATAAATCTTTTCGAAACTCACTCCAAACGACGGCCTAGGGTAATCATCGTGTAGCTCAATTGGGTAAGGTGTTTGCATGTTGAGTATTCAGCGTTCCATTGGAAATTTGCAATACACCAATGAATGAAATCCTCTGACGCAAGCCTTTTTTGGGAATACAGTTGATGGTTTATGAACAAAGCACTTACTGAAAATCTCGTTCACTCTTATCAGCATTAGCCTGCAGGGTTATGACTCGATTAGACACTTTCACAAACTGACCGTGTGTTGCATAAGAGTTTTGGCTGCTTCTGATTTCAGTTTGACGCCGCTAGGTGGCTATAAGATAACACAGGTGGTGGAATCTATACGATGATTCATAATGTGCATTTCATTGCTGTTTTTTACATGGCGGGAGTCAGCAGTGCGTTCTCCTACTTTCTCTTTGGGAACCTTCATAAGTAGGATTCTGCATTGTTATACCCAACACTCAACAATCATAACATGTTAATAAACAGCTCCCGGTGTGCGTGAAATACAACTTTATCGTAAGGATCCTCTAAGTGACATAATTTTGCGTCCTGTTAGTTCCATTCATGTAGTACTTCTCCATCACGGTGTTTATCGAAGAACTCGCACGTGTGTGCCACAAAACGATGTATAATGTATCGCACGAAAATGCTTGTGAAACAGTGACTCACAAAGTTCACAGATGATTTGCGGCTGTTAGAACATATCACTACTATGGATATCATTAGCAATTTCTAAATATTTTCGGCTCATCACCTAAATATGATGATTCAGATACAACATGTGGGTGTCATCCATCCGCGTTATGCCTGAGATCGCCTATTTCATTGTTCCTCTGTCAACAATTCTAGGTAATGAATTTTAATTCCTCATCAATGGGTTTTCAAAACCCAATTAATATAATTCTTTGTCGACTTTCTTTGGCAAAAGCGTTGTGCCTCGGGCTGCACGAACGATCATGTAGAGTAAAATTGGACAACAAATACTGTTCTTAATGTTAGTATTATATTTCCTTGTTCAATAAAAGCGTGAACAGATTTCACATGGTCAATGTACTGTAAGATTGGTACATTTTTTCTGTGCTTCTGGAAAGCAGAAACCGAAATGAAGTTATTTCTTTTAGCGCATAGATGATGGTTGCGGAATAAGTACAGGTGAAATTCCACGACATAAAAGAATCAAACAGACAGAGAATTGAATATCATTTGTAACCCACCATAGACCACGGTTGACCAGATGTGCAACTAGGCCCAGCAATAGGAACCACAAAGGGCTGGACTTCGAAACACCGTCTGAATTAGTTGAGAAAATGGGATGAACCGAATTAGCATTTGTTAGGCTTCGTCAAATTGAACGTATTTAGACGGGGTCATCATATTCGATAAACACTTGGTGGACCTCAGCCCTAATTGTTTTTTTACGAATTGCTGGTTGCTTCTTGTCACTCACCCAACATGTAATAAACAGTAACGTCGTTAGGTCCAGCACTGGTTGAAGCATCTCTGGTTTGCCTTACTAGTTTAACAGAAGGAGCAGCTCGATTTTCCAACAGTTGAACCGCTGCTGTTTTATCTGCAACTTTGTGTTCGTTTTCATTATCGTGGTTTTGGACACTTTCACCCGCCGGCGATGTTGGTACCTTGCCCTTTGGGTTCCTTCCGGACTCTGCTTCTTCTGACTCATTCTTATTTCCGGGTGGTGTTGGACTGGGAGATGGCGTAGTTACAGGGGCGACTGTCGTTGAAGCAGCCGCAGTTGTATTTGTGACGGTCTCCGCACTCACATCGATCGCCGTGCTAGATAAGACTTCAGTCGTTGGACCTGTTGGACAGAGCGATTCTGATTTATCTCCAATGACCACGTTCACACAATTAGTTCCACTCGTCGACTGAAAGGCAATATATATGTTAAAAATCAAACGTGTGATGTCCCAAACATCATATTCAATGTGTATAACAAACTTTCTTGTTCACTCACATTAACAAAGACCTTCACCGGTTTACCGGAATTCGGTTTGACGCGGTACTGGCATTCCTTGCCACCGCTTTTCACAACAAAGCTTTTCGTTTCAGTAGATGCAGTGACCTCTTCACAATTCTCGGCTGATAATTGAAGGTATATGTTATAGAAACCGAGTTACTTACCGACTACAACGCTGACGAAGATGGTGATCAACAGTAATTCCAGGATTTTGGATTTCATATTTTCCGATTTGCAGTGCAGTGAAATTCACTGGTTTTTATATTATACCCCTCATTTTATTTTCACTAGATGTCAATGATTAGTTACTTTTTCTATTACAATTCACGTGATTATGAGATTTTTCTAGCCCACACTTCTCAAGATTAGTAACTCATCGAAACCAGCGGGAGTGACTTATATATTATCGGTAGCTAGACGTATTATTCTGACGTCACGCATTGTGCACAACTGTTCTAAAGTGAATTTTCCAATATGTTCATTCGCTGAGCTGAAAGCTTCAGTTGCAAAGAAACGGTGAATTTGTTAAGGGCACTTATTTTACCTCAGTAATATATTTGTATATTTACTGAAGGTTGAAGGATCTTGTTTGACTTGGAGACGTTCAACAAAATGCTTTTTATTCCATTTGGAACGTGTATCCATCTCTGCCAAGATGTTCATTTTGTTTCCCATGAAGCTTGGATATCACATGTAGTATATACACTGTGTATTTTTCCGACACCCGTTCAAATGTTTGAGGAACCACAATGTACCGTACATTAAACTGATGGGCTAGTCGTAATAGAGTACACAATTTGCAGCAGAAACCTCATTATGTATTGGATCGTAATCCGCAAGGAAATCGTTTGGTATCAATCCAGAAACCATTGTTCAGTGACCTCGGTTTAGCTCTATGAAGCGATAGATTTCGGTCGTGAATTATAGGAATCGAAAGTGACTTGCCCGAATACCAGTGAACCTTCATACCTTATAAACGCCAATTCCCCAAAGCTGTCCAACTCTACCAACAAAGTAGCAAGTTTCGGTACCTTTGGTCTGTGGGTGGCCAAACTAGGCAGATACAAATCACCAATCAAGTCATAAGTATACAGGTAACATCCATCAAGTGATATCTTTACACACCGTCCTGTATATGGCTTTTGTATTTTTTCATCAATAAACGATTGGGATGAGAGAATAATTTACGGGGCAAAAGAGGCACCAACTCGCAATTAATTCCCGTGAGAAAAGTATGAATTTGACTACGGGCTTTTGTGTAATGCTACCTGTTCTCCGATAAAACGGATGTGACGCGGATTAATAGGATATTTCTTTAACAAAGTAAGTTTTGCATAACTGGTTCAACATAGTCACATAAGTGTTTTCTCCAGGTTGATGGACTTCTTACATAGAAAAATATATGCTTAACCTTAGGGAAAACAGATGGTTAAATCCACTCATAATCACCATCTTTAGGATATTTGTCAACAAATGAAGTGATTGAAGGTATTTCTTTATCGTTTTTGTTATTTTTGGATTTTCAGCGATCTATGGTTCTTCCTATGATCCGTGCTTTTCCTTCCTGACCAAACTTTTCCAAATGGATGTCGAATAGGTTTGACATATTGTATTTCTCATTACCGCCTCGTATCAGAATAAATGTACCGTTAGTTGGCTACGTGATATCCGGAGTTAGCCATGTCTGAATCACAATATACTAGAGATTCTATCAAAGCAACCGTGTAACCCAGTTTTCGAACACTTCTGGNAAAGACATTTCATTAACAACATACGTTTTGCATAACTGGTTCAACATAGTCACATAAATGTTTACCCCAGGTTTATGGATCTTTGCGTATAAAAGTATATGCTGATCCTTTAGGGAAAACCGATGGCTGGTTCCAATACTAATGACCGTCTTTAAGATCTTTATCAACACATAAACTGATTCAAAGTATCTCTTTACCTTTATTGAAATGTTTTGATCTTCACTATCCTATGGTCCCTTTTATGATTCGTACAAAGGGTTTCAGGTTTCATAATGTCGGCAAGTCTTTAATACGAATTCATAACATAGATAAGACACTAACTCCTATGGAACTTCGTGGTCCATATTTATCTCGGTAGATAATGGTAATACCTTCACACCTCAAGATGAATCCCGTTTATCGTTTCCTAACTATCTTGAAAACAGTTAACGCTCCACAACCGCTTCTAGCGTAACTCATTAAGGGATGAAAACATCTGTTCTGTCTAAAAGACTCATCACAAATTTAACATCAATGGTTTTCACGACTTTCGACGGTAGCCAAAGCAGAGTGAAAAATATTCAGATCAACACCTAAACTCTATTTATTAAGAATGAGGTTGCTCTTTTTTACCCTACATGTGGGAGCGTGGTGTTGTCAAACGTATGTTGGAATCGTGATCTGGATTGCTAAATAATGTTGATTATCCGAATAATATGTGTTTGTAGTTGAGTTTTATCTATTCGTTGAAAACCGTAACATTCCATTGTGTATCAGATACAAAATTAAAACAATTATGGGTATTTCTGGAAACACCCGAGCGGCGCTTGCTCCCGAAACAATACTTAAAGGTGCAAAACTACCGTTCGCATGGATTTTGAGTTTTTGCGTCTTTTTTGCCTCTGTCAATCGAAATTCTCTATTCAAAATAATGCGAGTTTGCCGAATGCTACACGAATTTCTGGCACTGCTGAATTGATCATGCTACCAGTAGAGTTTAAAGTTTAAAGGACGGTAAACAAGTGCGTTAGGTTTTATCATGAATAAGCCTTTCACTCGGTTTCGGTCGACGAATGCTGACCAAATAACTTAGAATAAATTAAATTGAACAACTACTGAACCTAGATGTATTTTTTCATTTTTTTCCACAAAAATGTTGCTCGATAAAATGAGCCATTACACCCAGTCATGAAATACCACGAATAAGTATTTCGGCGGAATGTGATCTATGAATTCCAAAGACTTTCGTGCTAAAGTCTAAGCAATTAGGGTGGAATAAGTCTTAGTCAACATCTTTATCTTTTGTTTTCGTTGGAAAATGGTCGAATTTAGGGCTATGGATTTGATCCTTGCTTGCGTTATATTTTAACATGAATCAACTGGATATTGACTTAGGCTCCGGGTGAGTGGAAGGCTACTTAACAGCCATCGAGGTAAACGTCGAATTGGGAGGCAACGGCTTAACCAAAATCTGATGTCTAGACAGTTGTGACTTCCGGAGGTTTAGCTTTACTCCGCTTTCTAATAACTGGCTACATTTCTGGGTCTAATGTCAATATCGAAAGAAAAACAAATGGCCTCAACCTGTGAACTCTTGGAACAAAGGAGAAAGAATAATTTACGGATAAGTACATACGGGAAGCAGTGATCTCGGTGGGTGCTCCGTTTGTTATTTCGAAGTTATGCACTCAACTGACAAATGAGAGATCTGGAATAGTATGTGAGAACCCGTGAGACCAGAACTGTTGAAAATACAGTGGTATCAACAGATGATTCTACGCTTTGACTAAACCAGCGCTACAGCAGCCTGATCTTGTCTTTAATAGTGAAACGGGAAACAAGTGAGGAACACTGTTTTATTCATGATGGTGGTATACCCCAGAAAACATGCGTTTGCATTAGGTTTGCATAAATGGTTATTATATATCTTTTTAGTCGTCGAAGTACTTTGTTTTCCTTACAATATTATATCTTCAGCGAGCGGGTATGATATATTGAAGTCGGTGAATCTCACAATCACGTGACTGAGCAGTTAGAAAGCTACCAATCAACTCAATCCTGCAAATAAATGTATGCGAGGTACATTATAAAACCGCAGCGGCTGCCAGTGAACTACAACCCACAGAACATGAATTTCAATATCGTGAAAATAGTGTTCATAACTTTCTGTGTCAGCGGGGTTCTCGGTAAGTAACACAATGCAATTTATTAACAGTAATCAGCTGCTGAGGCACAGAGTTGCAAAGAAGTTGTTGCCACAATTGAAGCGAAAAGTATCGTCGTGCAGAGCAATGTTACCGGCTGTCAGTACCGAATCACATCGGATTCTGGTAAAGCAGTAAAGGTCTACGTTAATGTAAGTCCAAAGAAATTTGTTCAACTGTATTCGGAACTCAGAAGCAATTACCTCAACTGAATTATAACTCGGCTATTCACTTGGTTGTAGAGTACAAGCGGCACGAAGTGTGTGACGATTAACAGTGGAGGTACATCGGAAACTTTGTGCCCGTCAGGGCCAAAATATCTATTTACATCTAAGGAACCCATTGAGGTAAGCGCGGAGTCGGGGGCCACAACTACAGATGCTTCGGCAACCGAAGCAAATACAGCACAAACATCTACACCTGCGACTGAAACAGGAAAAGATTCGGTAAAACCCAAACCAGCTGAATCGGAGGAAGGTAAAAAAGAAGGCGCGAATCCTGGTACAGATGGGGAGCATCCTCCCCATAACACCGGGAAGGAGGAGCAGCAACCAGCAAAACAGGAGCAACCAGGGAATTCGAACGGAGCGGGGGATAAACAATCACCCGCTGGTCCACAGCAAGAATCACCAGAGAAAGGCGTCCAACAAGGAAGCGCTCTGAGTTCTAGCCAACTAGTTCGACGTGCCAGAGATACCTCCAGTACCGATGTAACCGTGTACTACATATTGGGTGAGTTTTGCAAAGGAGCGATTATGTCGTATGAAGCACAGTAAATTCCTAACTAGCGGTCTTAGGATTACAGTGCGTCTGTTGATACCAGATTTGAACAGAATCCGAACGATTGCGGCTTCCACAAAATAATTTTATCCTTTGTAATTTCTTTCAGATGGTGTATCAAAATCTACCCCCTCAGTTATCCTTATATTGGTATTCTTTGTACGCCTCTTCACTGAAGGTGTTTGGTAAGTAGCATATTACAACGCACTTTCAGATTAGATGGACATTTTGTTTTATGTGAAAATAAATGTGTGAATTTTAGGTTATGTATCAATCATGGTCAAATCACTCAAATGAGGGAATTTAATTTATTTTTCTTTTCTTTTCAGAACCAGCTCAATAACCAACGGGTAACTTACCACACGTACTGTCATTTAAACGATGTAAAAATAACGATAAAGCAATCGAAAACAATGGTGGCTTGTTTTATTGGTTTTGACGTTTTACCTTAAACACATTTATGAAGTTGATGCAGATTTCAACGTGAGCACAAACATGAAAGCGTATTGGAAACCCATGATCAGCATTCTACTACAAATAAATCACAGTCCAACGGTCCTGATGGAAGCTGTTATTTTGTCAAAAATATAGTACAGAAATGTGATGAACTAGGAAATGTATATATATGTTACTCAACAATAAAGAAGATGAAACAAAGTCGATTGTGGGCAGCTAAATTATTGAATGAGCTTTCCATTCAAAACGTTGTAGAAGCTCTCCTTACAACGTTCGTTTCTTTTATTTCACTGTATAAACACAGTTTTTCAATATTTAACTATTATCCTTCATTTTTTCTTTAATCTCTGGGAACACTTTGGTAACGGTTCAAGGCAAATACTTCGTTACATACAAATTGATCCTGTTATATGCTGCCATCAGTAGTGTGCGTCTGTTGTGTCGTTATGATTATGCTCGAAAATGAATGAAAACAACATCTAAAAAGAAAACCCAGTTACTAAATATGCTGAATTAGTGATTGGGATACGATCAAAATTCTTCTTCAAAGCATCGGTGACAATATATAAATCATTTTGAAGATACAGCATAACTTATGTCCAGTAATAGTATAGCTTCCATTTCCTTGAGGAATTTTCCCGTGCTGCTATAGTGAAGTGGTCTCCATCCAAATGTTTATCCTAGCTAGGGTGAAAGAATTTAAAGGGTTTTATTATATGTTGCGATTCGTGCTGCCGTGATCATGAAGTGCGCCAATATTCGCTATTTGTTAATTTACTTTATCTCGAATCAAAAGAGAATAACACGCTCGATGAAACAAAAGAGGGTTTTTCCTTTAAGCTCTATTCCTCCCGGTGACGATAACATGTCGAAAATTTCACGTTATTATATTGTGGAGGAACTCACCCATTCTGCTACGCGTCGTCTCTATCGTGTCCTTACAAGGGCATGATCACGTTGTTACAAATGGTTGGTAAAATGCCTATTTTTATTGGTGAATTTTAGTTGGATTGTGCAACTTGTGTATTTGTGCGTCACCTGTTGTCAGACGTTACATTTCTGCTAAGTGGATGAAGTCGATTATGCTGGAGTTACGCGTATGTCACTCAAAAACCTGCAACATAATGAGAGCAACATGGCACGTGTGTGTTAACTTGAAAAGGATATAACTCTGAGTAAATGTTTGAGACTGTAGAGTCAAAAACTATTCATAGAACAACATGTAGGAAAAGGTCACAATATGTTATAAACATCGGTTCTGTCAAAACGATGGGCTATTTGCTCAATTACTCAATTAACAAGCAACGCTACCTAAGACTGCTGGATATTTCAGGACCTAAATGAACTGTCATTCAATGGGAGTGCAGTCAGATATATTCACGATTTCCCTACCTCACTGGTGGAAAAACTGTATATTCCTACTATATTTTACTCACCTTCATAACATTCCACAAAGTAGGAAGAACATATTTGTGAGTTAAAAATCAACCATCCCATCTGCGGATCCCCTTAACTATTGTAGTTTTACACAGGTTTTCTTCATATCCGTTTTTTATTTCCCAATGCATGTGAAACCCTCAGTTAAGAAAAGAAAGTTGTATTAACAGTACACGACAACAAAATGTGATCTCGTGGCCAATAATCTGCTGGCGTTTTCTGATAACTCAATTGGAAAATGACGTAACTCAAAACCCGCTATCATGAGACATCTCACTACCTGCAGACAAAGTCTTTCGGAGAAACTGCTTTGGTTCGGTTTCCTATCACTCGTTTAGCCAGGTTCTAGGGGTTCTTCCTATGCAATATTTAGAGCTATTTTTAAAGCCCTACAAATCACTTTTGTTGCACCATGCATCTTCTGGTAACTATCAGATCTAATAATCCACAAAGTTCTTCCTCTCCACTCCTATTAAGTAATTTTTCTTTTGAAGAATCACCAACGTTTCAAACGGTAGTTTTGCAAGTACGTTCATTTTAAGTGACTCATCAACTGGCCGAAATCACATCGGTCAATGCAGAAGAATATATCATGATGTCCGTATACCAGACAGGATTATTTTGTTAGGTGGTTAGGTGGTTAGGTGTTAGGTGGTTTGTTCCCACTCGTTTAATCGGGCTCTAGATGTTCATTCTGTTCAATATCTAGAGCTTCTTTTAAAGCCCTGCGAATAACTTCGGTTGCATCTTGCATCTTATAACAGTCATCAAATCTATTAATACACAAAGTACTTGCTTTCTCCTTTTAGTAAGTATTTTTTTCATTTCAAGAACCACCGACGTTTCATACGGTAGTTTTGCAAGTACGTTCATATTAAGCGATTCATCAACTGAGAGAAATCACATCGGTTTATGCAGAAGAACAAAGATGATGTCTGTATGCATGGGACGATTATTTTGTTAGGTGTGTTAGTTTCACAAACCGAATGTAGAGCAAACCGACGTATCAGTATGAGTGAGGATGTGCACTTCCAAGTCGATTAGGTTCACATGAGACTGTGATGAATCTATTGTGATCATCTAGCTCACCACTTTAACGCCAGCCAGGCACATACACCACTCAGTTTCCGCATAACTAAACCATTCAAACTGGACTAGGTTAACCATGGACCACTGAATGAAAAGGCAACACGATTTGGTTATTACCTGGCGGGGCGATAAATAATCTTCTGTTGTGCATATAATATAATTCACGTTATTTGCATTCATCTTGCATCTCAGTGTTCATCGACTTCGTGAACTGACAATCGTGGTTTCAATTCCGTATCTGCTAGTATTTCCAATACCAGACGTACACTACAATGCAGCGCTAACTAGTTGACTTAATGATGGAGCTTCATGACAAAGGATGAACCCCGTCCGGGATAGCATTGGTGAATTGCATATATGTATCTGCACTTATTTCACCTATTCAAATCCGCTGTAATTTCACCGCTTTTACTGTGTCTGCAAAGGACGACATTCAACTGGATTAAATGTGACCATACAACTGTTATGCACCCAGTTTCTCTCGGCAACTTAGAAAATAAGGAAGAACATGAAAACACTTGTCAGTTTTGAAGCGATGCATCATTTAGTTGATTTAGTCACACTGGCAATTCAACTGAAATATATTCATCCATTTGGGACACAACGTTTAGTAAGAAATTTCATCGCTTTTGCAATGGAACAGGTGCTATTAGAAAAGATTTAAATATTACACATTTTGTAAATAAACAATGAATAGGAGGAGCGAGAACTCGTAGCAAAAAATCGCGGCATAAAAATTTGCATGATACTGTGTAACAGTTTGTTTGGAAACAAGGTACAGCGGAATAGTGGATAGTTCTGGTGCGAATACATGACGAGTTAAATTTTTTGCGGATAACAGAGGAGAATATATGAGCCAATGGCTGGGTGAGTGTAAAAGCGTATTGCATCGGTTAAGTTTGAGTCACAGAAACGGTCACATCCCTCAAATGTTGGTTGAGATTGGTATCGATCAGCGCAGCGTAAGAGACTGCTGAATATCTAGATATGCTTTGCATATAGTTTCTGATCAATATAAATTCCTTGCCAAATGCCGGGAAGATAAGGAGTACCAGTTGATCCAATAGCCCAAACGCCACAAAAGATAAACTTATAAATCACATATAACGGCAATCTCACATATCGAAGGTTTGAGATGTGAAACTTTAACGTTTTGACTTATAGGAATTTTGTTTTATCTGTTAGAATTATTTTAATGATGCAGACGGAAAACATCTAAGGTATTTGAAGTAATGTGGTATTCTAACCTTTAAGTTGCCCATCAAGAAGTTTAGAACGTCCTATCCGGACATTGTTGGTGGCCATTGCATATTGGAAAACATTCTCCGAACCGGGCCATTTAGAAATGTAACAAATGGTTGCTAGGTTGGTTGCAAGGTTGCTGTTGGATGCTCCACCAGCCACTACGTTATCGACATAGTTGAGTTTGAAGAGCGTTGGTGTGATAAGTAATTTCGAATACACCGGGAAACCGACTATGCCCGGGTATTGAAATTTTCGTAAGAGGTCTAATGCGTAGAGAATCATATTGCAAAAAAACTCAGCTTGGATAGTTTGCTTGGTTTTGTTTCACAAAAGTCATGTGAGGTAAAATGGAACATATATACAAACCATTAGATCCCAGGATTGTCTAACCCGGAGACATAAAAGCCCAAAATCCAACAAAAATCTGTATTGTGATCCAAATGCTTTTGAATAAACGGAATTTAGTAAAACATTTAATAAGCGAAATTTGTTCCGTCAATGTTTTGGGCAGGGGATTTGATGTGGTCTTGCGTCCTAGTTCAACATCAACCAACATGGTAATGAATTCGATTCCAGTTTAGTGGCGGACCAGTGAGTCTAAAATCCAGCCAGTGAAATGCGAAAATGGAGGCAATCTCATAAATTTCAAAATGTTGTATCTCGAAAGCTGTGAATTTATTGTACTTCATATACCTGAAATGAAGATCTATAATAATAATGTACAGTATCGTGTGTTTCTGGAACACCAAAAGCAGCAAAAAACGGATAC